CAAAAAGAACATAATTTACCGACTTACATATATCTAAAAAAAGAGCTCTGAGTTCTACCCAAGTGGTAGCTTAGAATGGCCTTAACTCTCCTGGTTACTGTTGCATCTGCAGAGCAGAGCTTTTCCAAACTCAAATCTCTACAGTGATGTCATCGATGGCTTTGCAGGCAGTAAAGTTGGCAAAGGGAGTGGGTGGAGTATTGAGGAAGAGTGGTTTGTGTTTTTAATATACAGCGTTTGCATATATTTACATAGATTTTACAGCTAATTATTCAACTTTAAATTTCATTGCCTTTTCCTATCTGGTTTTAGGAAACTTCTTATTTCCATTATTCAAGAACATGCTTGAAAACCTTTGTAAATTTTATTATGTCGGAAAACTATTTTTGATTAATCAATTATTATTTTTGTTATTGTTGGTTTTGTACTACAACTTGTACTACAACTTATTTTTGCAAACTGGTGCTGCAGTTTGAGCCACAATTACTGCAAATGAACTACTTCATATTATTACGTTTTAGTTACACTAGAGGGCAAATAGAAAATATTAAACAAGAGCAGCAATAGGTTTATAGTAAGTATGTGAAATACCTGATTATTTTACTGTTGATTGCAGTAATGAACTTTATTGGCAGATATACCTACCGGTAAATCAAATTTTGCTTAGGGCCTCATGAAGGCCTGGGCTTTCCCTGAAGAAATGCAGTTGAATCCATTTACAGCACCATTAGAAAAATATGAAAGAAAACATGGGAAGCAGGTAATAACAAAATGTACAATGACATGTGCATTATTTTAAACCATTCCATCAGCAACCATTAAAAACAATTAATCATATACACTATTAAAACAGGATATACAATAATATCAGGTTTGTTTTAGAGCAGTTTTAGGAGCACACTTGACATTTTAGGAAAGTTAGAAAGCAAATTCCAATGATGACTTTAAACCAAAAATTAAAAATAAATAAATCTTCTATGTGGGTACAGTTATTACTGTTTATAAAAAATGGGTTGTCATCATAAATGATAGTATTAAAAGCTGGAGGAGTTAAGTTCACAAATTGCACAAATTGTTGAGGAAATAATTTTGTAATAAGCAGCAACGTGAGCAAATATAAAGGGATCCATCCTATGATTCTTATGATGTGCAATGATTATTTACACTTTGCAGCCAGACTAAAGGATGCAAAGGGCTTTAGAAAAGATGCTCCACTGCAATAGTCTGAATTAATAGTCCATCTATCCAACATTTTTTTTTATCTTTAGTTTTGATTCTGTCTTAATATTTCTTGCAGAATTATTATATTTTACAATGATTCTAAAGAAAGGGTATAAGCCCTAGTAAAATGGGGTATTGCCTGCTGTTTTGTGTTTTTCTGCCATAATAAAACATTTGTAGACATTTAGCTTTCAAATATTTTTGAAATAACTATCAAATAATGCAGTTTGCCTGCTTAAAAGGCATTTTTGTGGGTAGGACACCAAAATTAGCTCTATTCCAGGGGCCCACACCCCCTTAAATCCAGGCCTGTGTGCACTTATTCTGGTCTGTATCCTTTAACTGTTGTTTTTAATTAAACACTGATTGTTCTTAGTATTTCTAATGAATATCAAATGTATTATGGCTGTATATCTTTTATCATGCTGTTGAATGGATTTAGTTTGTGTATTTATGAATCTAAGTGTACTAATAATACTTGATTGAGACTGAAGCACAGATTAAAAATACCCAATATTCTCCTGTGACAGGATTTAGTTGCATGATAAATGTTATTCAAACCTGTTTATTTAATATTCACTGCGTAGCACCATCGTAACATTAGCTGTAACTAAAGGATTGATCAAATTCAATCAATAAACTTTATTTGTATAGCACCTTGTTATGCACCCAACCCCTCCACATACCCACACACACAAACACACACCCGCATATGTCCTCTTAATGAACACACTTTCCCAAGGACCTTAACAATAAATCTAAAGCACCGTCCCTCATCAGTGGGTTATAGAACTATTTATTCTCGCTCTCACTTTCAATCCCCCTCATTTTTTTTTTTTTTTTACAGTGTTCACGGAAAGTAGACCTTTTCAGTTCCCACAATTGTTATGCTAATGGGAACCTCTCTTCCATTGAGAAATCATTCTGTCTCGAACCTCCCTCTCAGAGCATAGAGGCTCTGTTTCATCTTTTCCCATACACCCACTGAATAAATGATTATGAAGCCCTATTAAATATAAATAGACACAGTAAAGCTCCAAAGAGGCCTAGAGACAGACTTGCCTTTCCATGTCTAGTGACGTGAACATGTTTATAAACTGATCTAAATCTCAGATTTAACTCTAACCCATTACTGTAGCAACACACTAATATATCAAAAGTTTTATTTTAGTATTTTTAAATTTATTATATTTTTGAGTAATTTAAAAATATATTAGCATACCAATAAGTAGACCCAAAATAGATATATTATACAATATATTTCAATAAATACCCAGAAATATTATTGCAACAATGGCTTTCAGAAGCAGCGATAACTAATCATCGAGAGCTCTGCTTCATGTATCTTTAAAGATAAAAGTGGTCATTTTCATTTTATTGTAACACATGCAAAAACATTAAGAGATGGTCCTGAACAGTCAGTGTAGCACTAAAAGAGACCACCCACTTAGAGAAGTTTGGCCACTTCTGGTCAACATCTCCCCCACCCAGGCCCCAACCTCCCTGTGATTATCCAGCTCATGTTACAGGTGGTATCAGTGCAACAGATTGTTATTGGATATATTTATTAAAATGATCATTTATCTAGGATATGTAACTACTTTAATCCATCCTGTGCAAAGACTTTGGCCAGGTGGTTTCATTAAACAATAAAATGATCAGTAGATATGAACTCGGATGCCCCCTGCTGGTCATTATGTTAAATACAGTAGCCTGCCTGAGTTGTTAACTCCTGAAGAGCCTCTTAAAAAGGACCAATTAGAGACATATTTCTTTAGCGTGTGCCTTTGTATCCCTTTATCATGATATATTATAAAAAACAGTTTCATGTAGTGGCTTCTAAAAGCATCTACACTCCTTTAATTGCAGATTTTGTTAGGCTAAAGCCAAATTTATGCTTTTTTAACTTTGATTTTATGATATTACAACACACGTTGGTGCATCACATTAAATGAAAAAGGAAGGAACATTATACTGGAAATTTACAGGTACATGGCTGCCAAGTGTAATTTGATAGGTGTGACTAAAAGAGCATTATTCATTAATCAGCCCGCTGGTCCATTAAGACTCTCAGGAGCTGCAGAGATCCACAGCTTAGGTAGAGAAATCTGCTGAGAGGTCATCAGCTTTCTGAAAAATATACCTTTACCTCTGGTTGTTGGAAAAATAAGATCTGGCAGTGGGGATTCTTTTCTTCAGCAGGTATAGGAAGTTGTTTAGAAATAATGGAAAGATGGAAGACGCTTAATGCAGGCTAGGCCATGAAATAAAATCAGTTAGATGCTTTAAAGTACTTTAGACTGACAACATAAAGCTGGAGCGGGGCTTTTGGGTCAAAATGCTCTGCACATCAGCCAGATACACCTTCCCACAGCAAAACAAGGTGGTTGCAGTATAACGGCATAGGGAAAAGTTTGTAAGGTGCTTTTTCAATGCACTAAACCCAAACATACACATACTACATCTCTTTATTCTTGCAGGGCCTTTTCATTAACTTTTATTTATATCAACCCCATTTCTACAGCCTAACTGTGGCCGTTACCGTAAATGCATCTATTCCTAACCCCAAACTTAACTCAATTCACACTTTAGTCCTAAACGTGACCCCCAGACCCTAAAACAGCAATTCCCCTCATGGGGTCCAGGAGCAGGTCCCCAGAAGGTGCTATTTTTCCAGAATACAATCTATCAAATCCAAGAACACACACACACACTTGTTGGTTTCCTTTGGTGTAAATACAGCAACCTTGCCACTGTTCATTCTGTGTTAAATGGACTGTTACAAAGCTAAATCTGTAGAATTAAGGCTCACAACAGACCACTTCACAAGCTTGAACATGCATCTATGAAACTCTCCTCCCATTATTCCTGGCAGGCTCGCCTCTCCTTGTTGAGTTTCAGGGTGTTAGGCTGGTGAGGACTCAGAACATTAATAAAAGCAGACCAACCAACTTCAGGTCAAACCTGTCACTGGCTGGATGAAGCCCTCATTGTATGCTGCTTTGTTTTAGTGTTAGGACAGTTCTGCTCTGTTTCACTTTATTCGGCTGATTTTTACCACGAGAGACTTAAAAGAAAATCTTGTGACTTTATTTATTCTTCTTTCTTAACTTTAAAATATTGTGCACGTTGAATTTTTCCAATTTAAAAGCAGTTTTAATGCCAGTATTTTTCTGGCATCCTTAAATAAGGGATTACTTTCACCTTCAACTTTATTATAAATAAATCATATATTACATCACCGTCATTTTCTGATAAAAGAACTTTAGATTGATGCTGATCTCTTTGAACATTTTTAAAAATGTTTCTGCTGCAGGAATCATCATAAACAGACATGGAGAGGGTAATATATAGCGTTTTTTTTTCTCTTTTTATTTTTGTTTCAAGATATATAAAAAGTGAGACAGTAAGACACATTGTTATTTATAGTTCCTTCTTAGATCACTCAAAGAACCTGCAGTTAAACCACAAATAAAAGTTGCAGCACTGTTGAAAAGACTTCTTAACACTTCTTGGAGCAAGTCCTAACAGGCTCACTAATGGGCAGAACCAGACACGCTTGTGAAGGAGGCGCAGCTACCACACATCAATAATCCCTACAGCTTCTTCCCCCCTGATGCACCCATTGTTGAGAGAGGAGGACGGAGAGGCTTGTAATTAAAAATCAAATAAATGGTCTTTTGATGCCGTTTTAATTTAAAGGCACATTTAAGTATAACAAGGCTTAAAAGTGGAGTTCAGTACAGTCTGAAAAGGGAAGGTCTTGCTTAACCAGTAGGTCCAGAAAACACAATCATCTTTTCTGTAGCCATAAAACAAAGACAAGCACACCTTCACCGCTAAACTGAACATTATTTACAGGGATCCTGTGTTTTATTGACAGCCCTGTAGATAGTTAAGAAAGTGATGACAGTGCCAGAGATATAACTCAGTCAGTTAGTATTGTGCTGGTTAGAAGTTCTAATTTACCGTCAGCTGTGTCCCAAACAGTTTCATTAAAGTAGTTTTAAACTCCTTCAGAAATACAAGAAAATACACTTTTTAATTTTTTTTATGGAACTCATAGGGTTTTATATATGTATGTATATACATATATATATATATATATATATATATATATATATATATATATATAT